CACCTGCGAGGTGCGGGAGCCGTCGGCACCCCGGGGGCTGGGCTGGGAGGTGCCTGAGAAGCCGGAGACTCGGCGCGGCGCTGACAGCTCCCCGGGACCAGAGCTGGTATCATTCAAAGTGTCCGGAGGCCAAAGGAAGGGAGGAGGATGGGGTAGAAAAGTGGGGAAGGTGGAAGAGCCCACACCCCCAGATTCCCTCCGCCCGGGGCCTGCAGCCTGACAGGGAAAGAGGGAAGGGGGGACAGGGGAGGTTCCCTCCCTCGGGCACCCAGGAAGCCAAGTCTCCGGTCAGGCTGTGCCGCCTCCGGGAGGGAGGCTGGACCCTGGGTCCGAGGGACGAGGCTGGGCCTGGACCTTGCAGTCTGAGGGCTGTGATCTTGGGCTCCTTGGAAAGGACAGGACTGCATCCAAAACATCTGGGTTTCTTGGGGCAGAAGGGGCCTGTGTTATAGACCCCTGGGCTTTTTAGCGGGGAGGAGATTGTGGTCTGGACTTCTGGGTTCCTGGGGGAGGAGGACCTGGGGCTTCGATCCCTGAGTCTGAGGGAGGAGGTCTGGGCCTGCAGTCCTGGTTCTTTGGAAAGAGGAGGCTGGGGTCCTCGACCACTGGGTTCCTTGGGAAGGCTAGGACTACATCCTGGGCTCGGGTTCCTTGGGAGGAGGGGGCCGGGGGCCTGGACTCCTGGGTCCTGGCACCCACCCGTAGAACCGACCTTGCGGGGCCTTCGCCACACACAAGCTCGTGTCTGTGGGTCCGTGTCGGGGGCTCACCATCGCGGCTGGGACCTCCCCGGCCCTCCCCGCCCTCCCTGGCCCTCCTGGCCCACACCTTGTCCATCTGTCCGATCTGTCCACCTGCCGCGCCCCCCGGGCTGAGGTAGGAGGTTGTATAGTTGAGGAGGACACCCAAGGAGATCACTATACGGCCTCCTAGCTTTCCCCAGGCTGCGCCCTGCACGGGATGGGGCGGCGGGGACCCCCAGGCCCACACCCTGCCCTGGGACCCTGGCAGGGGCTGGTCTTCTTGTCCTGTGTCTCTTGCACTTGCTGCCTGTCAAGTGGGTCCTGGCCGTCTTTCTTCACAACATTGCCTGTGGCTTTCTGGGCTCTGACCCTCTGATGACTTTCCATGTCTGTTCCTGTCTTCTCTGGTCTGCTTTTAGTTAGTTTTCTGGCACTCACAGTGTCGGGGATCTGCCTCTATCTCTTTTGCCACCCCCAACCCAGGGCCTGTCAGGGCCACTGCATTGCCGGCCTCTGGGTCCCTGAGACCCTTTAACCTGTGAGGACGTCCAGGGTCACAGGTGAGGTTCTTGGGAGCCTGGCGTCTGGCCCAACCACAGACCTGGGACTGCAGGTCAACCCCTGACACCCTTCTTCCTGAGATTTGACCTCTGACCCAGGTGCCTGCCCCTCCCCCTCCTAGTGACCTCACAAAGACTACCAGCTTCTCTCCAGGCCTTGAGACCCTCCAATGGCCCTGCTGGTCCTGGCGAGTGCTGTCCCAGCTGCCCTGCGGGCCCTGCTGGTGCTCAAGGCGTCCGCGTGGGCCTGTCTCCTGTGCTTCACCACTTACCCTGAGCGTGCTGCCATCTGCAGGATGTTTGCCCGGGTGCAGGGCCCCAAGATTGACCAGTGCGAGGAGGCCTTCACCACTGCCTTTCAGGGTCTCTCAGACGTGGAAATCAGTAAGGAGGGAGACCCTCCTCCGCGGACTAGGGCCTGGGAGGACCGGACGAGGGAGAGGGAGGGAGAGACAGACAGACAAGCACAGAGTAGACAAAGAAAGCCTAGGGGTGGCGAGGGCCATCGCAGGGACAGGGAAAGAGGCCTTAGAGGGACCAGGCAGCAGCAGAGGAAGGCAAGGGGGCTGAGGTCCCTGAGAGGGAGCCGAGAGCAGGAAGAGAGGCCTGCTGGAGAGGTGTGGAGAGCAGAGGATGCTGGGAGGAGCTGTCGGGTAGGGCTGCCTCCCAGCCCCTGCCCTCCCCTGCCTCAGATTATGAGGAGAGGAGCCACCTGCACGACACCTTCACCCAGATGACACTGTCCCTCCAGGAGGAGGCCACCGCCCAGGGTGAGTGCCCCTGGAGCCCGGCCAAGCAGCCCCCAGGACCAGGGAGCGGGCTCTAGGTTTGGGTGTTGACATCGGCACCCTGAGGGAGACACGTGATTCACCAGGACAGGTACTGAGGCGAACGGCGTCACTGAGGGCGGAGAGGAAGTGAGGGGTGGGCGGAGGAGACCTGGTGGGGTCTTGTGTAGGCAGACTGGCTGTGTCTCAATACTCGCCTGACATCCGCCTGCCCACCCAGGGAAGGGGGACAGTCCCCTTGCTTCCCAGGCAGCCTCCTCGAGGACAGGACAAACACCCAGCATGAGTCCTTGCAGTTAGGGGGCAGGGAGCCAGGAAGGAGCTGTGGAGCAGATTGCAGAGGTGAGAGCCGTGATGAGACGTGTGTGTGTGTGTGTGTGTGTGTGTGCGCGCTGTTCAGTGGTGGGGGAGGTCCTGGGGCTTCAGGGCACACGTGTCACCCTGGGGGAGCAAGCATCCTGAGAGGCCACAATTAGCCCTGAGTCCCTGGAGGTGCAGAGGTGTGGCTTTGGTGGAGTCAGAGGGCTGCAGGGAGACCATGGGCCCTGGTTTTAGGACAGACTGTCTGCTTCCGAGGTCTGGAACTCAGGGCTTGTTTCTATAGCTGCTGGGTTACTGCTGTTCCCACTACACTAGATGTCAAAATTCCTTCAAGGGAGACAAGTTTCCATCCTTCTGGGGACCTCCAGAGGCCAGGGTGGAGCAGGCTTCAGCTGGGAATCCCCCATCCCCAGGGGCGGACCTGAGGAGCCCCAGAGCTAGAAGGAGGGGTGCTGGATTAGGGAGATGTGGAAGGAGGCGGCTTTGGGTATACGGGACAGACTTGGAGGAGCAGGGAGGCTGGGCTGTGACCGTGGAACAAGCGTGGGGGTCCAGAGGGAGTGTTGGGGTCTGGGCTGTGTGGGGAGAGGCGAGGCAGGTGACAGTGCCTGGGGCCTCAGAGGCTGCGGTTGGCCCCCAGGTGTGCAGTGTGGGAGCTGAGCCCGCCCAGGTGGGGCCAGAGGTTTAGCCAGGTCAGGACGTCGTGATTGTTTGGGTGCCCTGGACATGGGGTGGCTGAGCGTTCGGATGCTGGGTCCAGCGGAGGCCGGGAGAGGCTGGTGCAGTTTGTCATCGTGTGGTTATTGACTAGGGTAGGAGCCCCGCTGGGGGGACGGCTGGGACTGAATCTGCAAATTCCTCACCTTAGACTTGGTGTGGGGGGAACAGACGTCAGCAGTCCCAGGATACTCTAGTATCTCAGAGGGTGACCTAGGCTGGGAGGAGGGGATGGGGTGATAATGAGAATAGGTCAGTCTGACGAGGAGTGGGTGAGAAGGTCCAGTTGAACAAAGAGCTGAATGAGGTGATACTGAGAGCCAGATAATGTGGGCAAAGGGCCTGGGTGCAGGGATGAGCCAGTGCCAAGGCCCGGGGGCCAGTGGGGCTGGAGAGAGATGAAATGAGAGAGGCAGCAAGGGATTGTGGTGTCACTCCATGGAGACCAGTGGTTCTCAAGACCCAGGAATGTCAGGTCTCTCAGGGTGGTGTTAACATGCAGATGTCTGGGCCTGCCCTTTTTGTCTGGCCAGTATCTTCCTTGGTTGAACAAGATCCCTTTGGCAGCTACAAGGGGCTAGGGCAGAAGTCGAGAGACCAGTGAGGAGTCCACTGGAGGCGACCAGGCCATCACAATGGTGGCCAAGACCAGTCTGGGCAGGGGGCAGGAGGATGGAGGAGAGACTTCAGGGGTCTGACTGTGTGCCACACCTGTCCCAGCTTCGGATGCCTGTTATGCCCCTAAAGGACGTCTTGTACCAGCCCCAGGGGCTGGGTGAGGACACTGGGCTGGGCTGGGTCAGAAAGGTGGGCCCTAGGGGTGTTTGGAGAAGCTGGACCGGAGTGACAGGAAGAAGCAAGGGCGACTTCCGGTCTGTCCCAGATGGAGGGCAGGAGAGAGGAGGGACCAGTGTACACAGCCATGAATGCTGTCTGTGTCTAAACCATGGGGAGCTGAGTGCAGTACAGGTGGAGCTCCCGTTCCCCTGAAAATCGAAATGCTGCAAAATCTGAAATTTTTTGAGCCATCGGCAAGACTCCACAAGTGGAAAATCCCACACCTGAAGTCACGTGACTGGCCTCAGTCCAAGGGACATGTGACTGAACCCGCAGTCAGAACTCTGTGAGATTACCTGTGGGCTCTGTGTGTAAGGGACACAGGAAACACAAAGGAAATCTGTGTTTAGAATTGAGTTCCATCCCCGATATAGCTCCAATATTCTAAACTTTAAAAAGTCCCGAAGTCTGGAACATTTCTGGTCTCAAGGGTTTTGGATGAGGGATATTCAGGCTTTGGAGAAAAGAAGGCAGGATTAAGAGTGGGGGCTCTGGAACCTGAATGTCTGGGTTCAGATGGAGCTCAGACCACCCCCTGACTGACTGAAGTCTGTGTCCCCACGTCCCATTTGGAAATGATGGTATCGATAGCTTTACCTCCTGTGCCGTTGGAAGCCCGTGGTTCTAGGGGCTGAGAGACACCAACCTCACCTCACGCCAGGCCTCAAGCAGGCAGCTAGCTGGGTTAGGATCAGGACGCTCTTACGTCGTGTGGCATTGAACACCTGCCCCAGCTGTGTGAGCCAGACACTGTCGTGGTCCCCACCGAGGGCCGTGTAGGGAGGGAGGCCTGCTCTCCGTCCCTCAGGTGTGGGCCGGGTGAGTTCACAGACGGATGTGCCAGGCAGGGCTCAGACCCAGGTGAGCTAGGCCAGAGCTGAGGCTCCCAACATCGTCCCGTGCCTCACCGCAGTGGTAGAACCTACGCCCTTGCCGTTTTGAACATTCTGCGCCATCGCTCCTCCGACTCCATTCTGTCCTCGTCCTCGGCTCACTGGTATAGTCCGCACGCACCCTCGCACCAGTCATTTGGTTTGGCCCACAGATATTTCAGTGACTCTTCCAACATCTTGGCCTCTCATCTGACCACATCCTCCTGGCCATTCTGCCGTCTCCAGTCTCCAGACCACAGTCTTGTTCTGTGGCCCAGGACAGACCTCTAAGTCCTTGACTTCTCATTTTGAACCCACGTCTTGGCTTCAGTGGTCCTTTCTGAGTGCAAATGTAGTGATCCACACTTCAGCCGTCTGCCTTTTTTTTTTTTTTTTACTTTTCTGGGGATTGAACCCCAGGGCCTTCACACTGAGCCACATTCCCAATCTTTTTTTTTTTTTTTTTTTCCTCCAGGTGACAAGGTATCTTTAAGTCACTAAGCTGAGCTCTAACTTGAAATCCTCCTGCATCAGCCTCCCAATGCTGGGAGCTTCAGCCACTCTCTTGCCAGTAGCCTCAGTAAAAATATGCTAGCACTTAGGGCAAGCCCCAGTTGGCAGTTCCAATTTCTTGGAGATTCGAGCCCCTTTTGGCTTTGTGCTGCACCGTCCTAGACTATAGCCCTGTACTCATGCCCTGTTACTAAATCCCAGTTTCCGCAGCCGGACAGAGGAGTGGAAGATGGGCAAGATGGTACCTTCCTTTCAAAGGTACTTCCTGTGTGGCTCTCACGTGACACTTCCACTTAATCTCAGTGGCTGGGACTTGGTCATGTGACCATGACCGAGGCTTAGAAGTGAAATCTTTTAGCTGGGAGGGGAGGGAAGCCCTTTCTCAGGTGAAGCACTGTTCTGTCACTAACGAGAAAAGTTAGAAGTCTGGTGGAGGCTGTGACAAATCTTCATAGATGGCGTGCCTCAACAATAGGCGTTATTTTCTCCAAGTTCTAGAGGCTGGAAGATCAAGACCTGGGTGTCAGTGAAGGCGGGGATGGTTTCTTCTGTGGCCTCTGCTTGGCCTGCAGATGGCTGCCTCGTTCCTGTGTCTTCCTTTGTGTGTCCACCTCCTCGTTTCTTCTTCTTGTAAGAGACCAGTCATCCTGGACGAGAGCCCGTCCTGATGACCTCACGGTGACACGGTCACTTCTTTGAGATTGGCCCGCTCTCCACAGGCAGTCACGTTCTGAGGCACTGGGGTTTAGGACTTGGACACGCGACTCAGGGAGGGCACAGCATTCACACCCTGGTAGCATCGCTCCGTGCCGTAAGTCTGATTTCCAAAAGTGTCTCCACCGTGGGATGAACTCGGCTATCCACGCCCTCTGCCAGCCTCAGCAAACCTTAACGTGGAGGCCATTAGCAGAGTCAGAACCCAGAGAGGACAGAGGGAGCACACTCACACTACAGGAGAGAAGGAGTAGAAAGGAATAGTCGCTGAGGGCGTGGAGCAGTTGCAGGGCGTGCCCTGTTAGGAGTGGCTGCCACCAAACCCCAGCTAATTGCTGCCTTATGGCAACATGGTCTCTGCAGTACAGTTTTTCAACCCCCCCAAAAAAATTTTTTTTAAGGCATGCCAAGCATTTATGTGACTTTCCCAAATTTTATATGTTGGCAACCAGTTCATTTAAAAAAAAAGAGAGAGAAAAAGAAAACACTTCTCAAGCCAAATATAACACATCCAAGAGATGGATCTGGGCCCCAGGCTTGGTCCTGTGGTCTCCAGTTCCAGGATTCTGGAATTCATTCTTCACATATTTATTGAGCTCTTTCTAAGAGGGCTGTCCCTTGAGTCCTGAGGACACAGCACTAAAGAAAGACATTTATTTGGGTGGTGAATTTAAATGTCAATGCATATAGACATGTCATTGCAAACTGGTGAGAACTGCATGAAAAGAATTGAGTACTATGAGAAAAACAAATTGGATTAGAGGAGAGCTTCGTGGTGACGGTAAAGCTTTAAGGAGGTGATGTGAGGTTGAGACATGGAGGATGACCAGATGTGCTCCAAATGTGTCAGCATGTGCAAAGGCCCTGAGGTGCTAGGGAATGTGGTTCTCTGTACCTGAAGGGAAATGAAAGCAGAAGGATGCATCGGAGAGGAAGAAGAAATTACGTCAGCCCCCAGAAGGCCTAGTCCTCTGTTGAAGAATTTGATGGTTAGCCTCCCTTTTCTCCCAACAAGATAAGGCAGATGTGGTGAGGGCTTCCATCTGGGACAGACAAAGGAAGCAGGAGAGGAGGTGCGGAGGAAAGAGATGTGGTAATAAAGAGAGACCTAGGCGTGCAAAGGGGGCAGACACCATGACAGCGAGTGCAGCCCACTGTGCCTGCCGTAGGCAAGGGCTGTTCTACAGGGCCCACTCCACCCTCCAGGGTCCTTTGAGGTTGCCTTCCCTGCTGCTGCGGAAGAAATGAAGAGGGCCATTCTGCAGCTTAAAAGAGGTAAAGTAGCACCGTGAGAAACTTCCACTGCAGAGACCCCTGGATAGCTCTGCAGTCTCCTGACTCGCCGTATCACTCTTCCGCTGTCTCCGCCCCTCGGAATGTTTCCTGTCCTGCTAGCCCCCATCTTGGGACAGTCCCATGCGCAGGGTTCCTCTGCACCCCATGTAGGTGGCTAACTGGAGGCCTGAGCCTGCTTGACTTCCTGGAGCACCGTGGGCCCGGCCCCGCCCCTGCCCCTGGGAGGAGTATAGTGGGCCTGGACCCGCCTCCGGGAGGGGGCGTGGCGGGCATGGACCCACCTTCGGGGAGGAGCACAGCGGGTCTAGTCCCGCCTCCGGGGCATTGCCCCGCCCCCAGGCGTCCGGCTTGGTAACATCCTTGGGAAGCTTTCTTAGGGGCCTTCCTGGGGCTTCCAGGTTAGTGACGCTACCTCTTTTTATGCAGTCCAGCCCTGCATCCCTCCTTGCGGTAAGGATTTAGTCCTGGGGCAGGGCAAGGGAGGCGGTCTGGGTGGAAGAGCACGAGCGGGACTCAGATACTCAGAACCCTGGAGAAAATAAGAACTAGATGTTGCTCGGGAGGCGTGTTCGAGGGCCCAGGCCAGTTAGTAGGGGTCCCTAGAGCATGCAGACGGTGACACAGGTAAGGCTAAGTCCTCACCTGCAGGGGTCCAGGAGGTGACCCGGCGCTTCCGCTGCCGCGGGTGCTACTCCACCGTGTGCGACCTGCCGCTGGA